GCTCCACGGGGACAAAGGAGCAGCCTTAGTACCATATGCTTAATGGCTACAGCCGTGCAGCCTTTATTAAAGGTAAAAAGTGTTCCTTTAAAAGTTGGAAAGGCTCCTTTATTTGAGTTAGATGGAGCACTTGCGCACAAAACCAGAAGCGCGCGTTGCCATTGACTCGGCCCCTTTCTCTTTCTTTCAGGAGTCTGAAGCGGCCACCGTCATCGCCCGTTTCACTCCAACATAAGCTTTTCATCACCCGGCTTTGTTCTCGGTGAAAGTAATGCTGCGAATCAAAGACATGACAATATTTTCCATCAGCTTGGAGACCCCGGACAAGAGCCCTCGAGCTTTGGCAAAAATCAGGGCCGGTTATTCATCCTGTCACTCCGCACCTGTGGTCCCGCATTCAAAGTATACAAACCTGTCCCTATTAACATTAATTATTCACAAACAACACAAAGGCTGAAATAGAGCAGGTTGAAGTCTGTTTATGGCTCCTAAATGTTTTATTCCTCTGAAGATGTGCCCAAAGCTCTTTTCTCTCCCTTGCTCGCCACCGAGTGCTCGTCTCTCTTTCAGCCTTGAGTAGCCCTACACTTTGGATTTTACAATCGCAGCATCTGCTTAATCTTGCGGATGAAAATATGACACAAAACGCAGCAGACAGCGGATTGTTAAATCCCGGTAATGAGTGATCAACGCAGGAAACAATGGTGCGGGGCGATGAGAGCCGTATGGTTCCGGGGGCACCCGGGACAGTTTGCTCTCTTGTGGAGAAAGCGCCAGGTGATGGGGCTAGAAAATCGCCTTTCCGAGGAGGAGAACACACCAAATCCACCTCCTTTCTCTCCTTGAAAAAAATACAAGACATAAATTTAATTGGCTTATCAAGGCGCGGCGAAAAGACCTCGCTGTTAATTGGCTGGGGGCGCACAAAACAAACGCAGGGACGTGTTTAGCCTGGCTGGCCCGCGCTGCTCTTTCAGCCCGGTGTCACATCATTGAAAATGTGTTTTATTATTGCAAAACGTCATGCTTTACAGTTGCCATATTGTGTCCTGGACAAAGGCTGATGGAACATTAAAGACGTGGAAAACGGTGCCAACCCGTCTCGAAGACACTGCAAGGGCCTCTCTTTGCTTTGCTCCCAGGCAGCTGCTGTCCAGGGACTCAGGCGCAAGGACATGAAAAGAGACTACGTTCGAGCTACCAGGTGCATCTCCCGGAGAACACGGTGCAGACCGAGCTGCTCCAGCGGGGACAAGGAAGCGCTCATAAAGATGTAATTTAGATTGGAAGGTCACGCGTGAAAGAAAGGAGCGCGCGGCTTCCTCCTCTCCCCGACACATGACACGTCTCCCCCCCTGCTTCCTCCTCTGCGGACACCTGTTGGCTGCCAGCGGCTGGAGCTGAGAGTGTGAACCGGGGCTGGCGCGCTGATGCCCGGCTGCACAGAGAGGAGTCAGGGGTGAGTCACGATGAGTCCGCGGGCTGAGATTTGACCACATCACCCGGAGACCGCTACAGGACACCTCTGGGCAGCTGTTATCCTTCAGTATTGATTTTGTGTGTGTGCAGGGTCCAGATGTGGATCATATGGGCCAGATCCAGGCCGCGGAACCGGGACTAAACTGGGCCAGAAGAAAATCTGCATGTGGCCCGAGTATGGACCGGATTACGGTCGCTACTGTTTCCTTGTTCTCTGCCGCTTCACCGTGTTCTGCACCGGAAGTCCTCTTCTCTTTATATTTCTCCTAATTCAGCCAAACGAGTCACACATTAAAGCCCCCCCATCCCCACCCTCCCCCACCCCCGGTGCGTAAAAGTGCCGGAGTGCCCTGTGTGACCTGAAGACATCAGCTGACCTTCAGCAGAGACTGAATGAGCTGTGCAGTGAAAACCAAACAGCAGCGCGTGCTCAGCCTGCAGCGGAGGGAGCAGAACCACTGACACACCGCAGTTAGTAAAACCACGTCATCATGTCATTTATTATATCATTAAATACAACAGCTACACCGTCACATTCAGCGACATGAATGTGAAGAGGTAAAACAGCTGAGCGTGAGTGAGGTCACAGTTCAGGTGAGACATGAACACACTCACCTCTGAACTCACGTGTTGATCAGATGATCCAATAACTGATCAGTAATCAAAGATCAGAGAAACACTTTTATTCTTTCTAATCCTTACTCTCTCATGAATCACGTGACGACACCTCACATTTATCCGTGTCCCTGTTTATTTAACCAGCTGCCACAGCAACAAGCTGCTGACTCACTGTTGCTTCAGTATTGATGACGTCACAAATAATCACATATCAGTCAGAGAGTTTAATACCTCATCTGCATTTTTTTCTGCTGATACTTTTACTTCAGTAGAATTTTTCATGCAGGACTTTCACTGTTTTTACATCGCTGTATTTAGATTTTTCTTCCGCCACATTATTTAAATGTTGAAGAAACTTTGTTGTTCAGTGATTAAAAAAATATGTCAATATCTCAATAATCAATCAATACTACAGCACAGGGGAGTTAAAGTGTTAAAAATAAATAAACACATTTTAAAAGACTAAGATTTTAGAGTTTGAATCTGCATCATGAGTTTATGAATGACATATAAACAGCAGCCGTCACTATAAATATATATTATAATATATATAATGTAAACACAGCTCTTCAGTCCAGAGCCAGAGTGAAGTCTCTGTGTGAACAAAGGCACATACTGATAAAGTTTAATTAAAAAAAATAATAATTAAAGTTTGTTTCTACTCTGAAGTTTAAAACAAACGACTTTAATCTGAATCTGAGAGAATTTAACTTCCATTTATTTTACTGTCATTAACCAGATTTTATTCTCACAGCAGAGAGTAATGTCAGAAAGAATAGGCACATTTATACACACACACACACACACACACACACACACACACTGGGTCAGGGCTGTAGGTATGAGAGTCTGTGGTGAATCAGGCCTTTCTAAACCAAATGAGCGCTTGACGTGGCCCATAGTGTCCAGTCCCGCTGAGAGCTGAAGGAAATAAAACCTGTCACACAGTAAAATGCTCGCGTCCTTTTAAGCCGTGCCAAGCCCCGGAGCCCAGTGACAAGATAGCCGGGAATATTTCAGCCTGTCCCTTCCGCTTGGCTGCGACCGCACCAAAGGCCGTGGAGAGGCGCGGAGCGGCCCGCGCTCTAAAAACCATCAAACCACACAAAAGGCGAGAAGGTGCGAGACTTCCACAAAGCTACCAGTGTTTTAACCCCGGCTCACACAGCGGCGGCCCCGCTGCCAAAGAGACGAAGCAGCGCAGCATTGACTGGCTAACATTTGACTTTCTAATGGCTGTAATAGGATTACATGCTCCTGACGCGCGGGTAATGAGAAGCGCAGTGAGAGGGAAGAGTAGAGCTCCCTGAAGCTTTCAGTGAAGTCCAACAGGACAGGAATGTCTCACCCTGACGAGCCTAAACTCCAGGTTTCTGTGTGAACAGTCAAATCATCTGATCGGAGTCAGGACGCACAGAAACGTCAGAGCACCCACCTGTGATGCTGCAGCGTTTTAATCCAAACTCTCCGTCCTCCGCGCGTCGCTCCCGCCTTGTGTTTGCAGCTCCCCGAGTCCAGCATGGTTCATATAGGACGCAGCGGAGTGTCGGTGGCGTGGGGGCGGCCGCAGAGGAGGAGGCCGCGGGGACACATGTTGAAGGGATGGATGCCGCTACCACGGGAAAATCTGTCCCGGCAGCACCTGGCAGCACAGAGCGGCATTCAACAGCCTCCCACCATCCCGCTGCAGGCCGCCCCGCGCCTCCAACACCTTCAGCTGCTGTGAGTATACGCTGGCTTCTCATTAGCATCTCATTTGCATATTTATGTCACAATATTAGGCGTGATTAGTGCGAGTTAACTGTCAGCTTCCTCTCTGGTTCTGTCTCAGTCTCACTGTTGGAGGCTCGTCTGCGCAGAGGCCGCGCGCTGCTGAAGGTAACGTGCGCGTGCTCACCGGAATAACATGATGTCAGTATTAAGGCTTAATTAATATGTGTAATTTATAGACGTTTATGATGAGTGACGTTAAACAAAGTCACGTTTTCAACTGATTTATTCATCATGAGAATAAAAAGCTGCAGATGAACTTTAGTTCAGCAAACAGAAAAGTTCAGTTATGTTTCTGTTTATTATGTTAATATGTCAGATATGTTTAGATTTAGAAAGAAAACTCACGTGTTCACATTTATCCATAAAAGCAACAGGAGCTTTCAGCCAGAACATAGAGTTCTCTCAGCAACATAACAGTCACTAAAGGCCCCACTTACTCTGAAACTGAGTGAACCTCTTTATACTGTGTGTGTGTGAGTGTGTATATATATATATACACACACACACACACACATATATGACCTGTATATTTATATAAGCTATATACATGTATGTATGTGTTTGTGTATATATATACACACACAGTATATAGAGGTTCACTCACTGGAAATTTCAGAATAAGTGGGACATTTATTTATATATAAGATATATATAAGATATATATATATATATATATATCAGTTATTTATATGTACAGTATTTATTTTCACTTGTCAAATACTCATAATTTACAGGTTTTCTTAATTTTCTCTTTTTCTCTGATGTTTCATTGTTTTGTTTTTTCTTCATGTACAGTTTGTTTTGCACTTGTTGTGTATTTGTGTTTTTAATACTACACTATGTGCCTTTTTAAATAAAAAAAATTAATAAATTTCATTGAATTTAAATGAATTGAATATATCTATTTGTTATAAATTAATTATTGTAATTGTGAAAGTTAACAGACAGGCCTCTAAAGAGGAAACGGACACATAAAGAAGTGAAGTTGTAGGTGCTTTTATTATCAGATTGTAATCTATATAAATATAAATCATTTTACAACAATATAAAAATAAGTTTTTCTCTGGTTCATTGCAGTTAAATTAAAACATATATTATCACTTGTGAAAAAATAAATACATGATTGCCAGTTGCCTGAATTACAAAAAATAAAATTATCAACATGATAAAACTATTTACAACGAGTCAGATCACGTGGTGTTCACAGTTTCAAGTGCACGTAGACACACGGGAGGTTCGATCCGCATCGCGGTCTTCACACTGTGCGTCTTACAGGACGAGTCCGCGGGAGGACTCTGGTCTTCAGGCCACGAGGCCGAAAGGAGGCTCGTTTTCTATGTCCGTGATGCCAGATTTGTTGTGCAGTTTCCGGGGGTCCTCCGGAGTCCAGACCTTGGCGGTGCGGATGATGTTCTGCTCCCGGAGCTGCTTCTCATCCGACCAGGACAGAGAGTGACCGGCCAGCGGGGGCAGGCCGTAGTCCGGGTCGCTGGGAGAGGGAGACCCTGGGGAGGGAGGAAGAGGAGGAGAACATTAATATCTTTTATTTTCATCATCATCATCATCACTGTCAGTAGTTTATGTGTGGACCAGGACTGTGTGAAGATCCTGGATTACAGGCTCTATAATAAAGTCTGAATGTGGCGGAATGATCTGAAGTGGACCTACTTGTTCCTCTGTGACAGATGATGACCTTCTTGGGCTGCGCGTGCATCTCGCTGCTGGAGTTTCTGATGGGCAGGTCGGACTGCACGAGCTCGGCCAGGAAGTTGATGTAGCCGATCGCGAGCCGCAGCGTGTCCACCTTGGACAGCCTCTTCTCGTAGGGCAGGGTGGGGATGTGGGAGCGCAGCCCCTCGAACGCGTCGTTGATGGACTGCATCCGCCGCCGCTCGCGCACGTTGGCCGCCTGCCTCAGCTGCTGCATCTCCATCTCGGACCTCATCCGCCTCCTGCGCTTCAGCAACGGCCCGCCGTGGTGGCCCGTATGCGGGGACAGGTCCGGGGTGCTGTCGGCGCAGCCGTAGGAGAAGGTGGAGGAGGAGGAGGAGAAGGACAAGTTGCCGATGTCGTAGTCTGCGTCGTGCGGCGCCGCTCTGCCGTCGCCGTCTTTGCAGTAGTAGTCTTGGAAGTGACTGGTGAGGAAGTCCACGTCGTCGTCCAGAAAGTCATCAGTGTCCAAGTGTCCGTCCCGCGAGGACTGGTCGGTGAAAAACTCGTCATCGTCGAAGTAGGGAGGGGAGGAGAACGAGTCGAGTCCGGAGAACGGGTCCAGCACAGAGTCCATCTCTGTTGTGGCGCCAACAAAGACCAAGTGTTCTCTTCTTTCTTTGCTCTGTGTTCGCCGCTCGCGGTCAACACTTGAGTTTGGGTTGAGAACCGGCACGCGAGGGTTCTTTATAGCGACATCCATAGTCGCGTGCCGTTTGCCAGGAGGGCCAACCAATCACAGCTCGGTCCGCGAGGCGCACCTCGAGATAATCCGCAGAACGCCACGCCCCCCCCCACCCCGCCCCCCCGGTCCTTCCTGTCCTCCTCTGTCCGGGGCAGAGTGACATCTCAACTCCGCACTGACACTCACACTCACTACACGCTGTTTCAACGTTGAACATGCATTGTGACGTCACTATATATATATATTATATATATTATATATATTATATTATGACGCTGGCTGTTTCCTCCTCGTGACTCAGCTGCAGGTGTATTTACAGATTTCTTTTTTTGGCATATTTTAGATGAAAACGAATCATCGTGATGTCACAGTCCAATCACAGGTTTGTGCTGAAAACAACCAGGTGTCTGGTGACACCTGAAGACCGGACGCAACAGGTTTTATCCTCTGATAAAACACAGTACACTCATGCTAATTTAGTCACATTAATTAACAAGAGGCTCATTTCAACAGTCTGTGTTATTTTCACAGTTCAGTGTTTGTCTGATTAAAGCAGCAGGGGCGGGGGGAGGGGGGGGCTGGTTCAGCAGCAGGTGAATCCACCAGGTGACTTTTCTTTTTTATTGCAACTTCATTGCGATGTGCAACTAAGGTTATTATCAGTCTCCTTCTGCTTATTATTATTATTATTATTATTATTATAAGTGCATGTTCTATCTATTTCTATATCTTTCTAAATTAAAGTAAAAAAAAATAAAATGAATAATTAAATTAAAATAGAAAGATACAGATCATTAAAAATCATGAATAAAATGAATGTTTCGATAAGTTCTAAAAGTTTTTATGGCTGTCTCTCCACCGTCTCTCACTGTCAATAAACATTATGTTTGTTTGTTTGTTTCCAGATGAAAACAGCTGCAGCAGTGAACCCCGAGGCCGCGCGCTGTAACACCAGAGTGTGTGTGTTTGATTCAGCGCTGCTGCACCGGAGCAGGTTGTGTTTTCAGTCACGTGAGGAGGGAGACAGGTACTGATATCTAACAGTATTCAGACGTGATGACGGAGCTCAGTCTGCGGCGCCTCTTCCCGCCGCAGCTCGGTCATTTATTCAGCGGTAAGTGGGCAGCGCCGCCGCCGTAAATACGTGCACCAGTAGAGCGGTCGATGCGCCACTTGTGCCAGCCAGTGCGGGTTTGACTGGGAGAGCTGGTTGACTAATAAAAGCACAGTGGTGGGCCCTGGGGCGCGCGCGCCTCTCTGACACCTCCAGCTACAAATTAACGCTCCCCGGTAACACCGAGAGGAGCCTGCCCACCGGTCTGCCTCTGTAAGTACGCATCTATTCAGCCCATTGAGTGAGGAAGGGCCGGGTGGGGGGGCCACTTTGTTCTGAACAAAATGGAGGCCGCGTGTGCGCGCACCGCGTGTGTGTGTGTGTGTGTGTGTGTGTGTGTGTGTGTGTGTGTGTGGATACGGGTGGAGAGGCAGAAAGCTGCAACACGGGCCGCGGCCGTGGGAAGAAGACCACTTGCGTCCCTATCGCCACTCAATGCAACACGTCGCGTTATAAATGAGGGCGGAGCTGCTGTCACATAATGAAGCTGTAGCCCGGACACACAATACACGCACAGGTGCTGCACGCAACAACAACACAACACCAGACCCCGCTGCACGACCCGGGACCGCGTCCACCGCGAGACACAGACATCCTCCATCAGTCACCACCACCGTCTCCTTCAGCTTCATCACTGCTCCTCTTCCTCTGAGCAGCATCATCATCATCAGGTTCAGTCTTTAACTCAGTCTGTATAAGGAGCTCACATCATTCAGAACTTTTCCTCATGGAATTCTAACACTTTATATTTTGTAATAATATATTTCTTTTGGTAAATGATTTATAAGGCCGTCAAAAAAGCTTTGCATGAGATCTGATGATATTTATATTTATCAGTTGAATAATGTGAAAAAGTCTCATTGTTTTGGAGATATAAGAGTGAGAGTATCAGCTGCTCTGTTCAGTTCAGCTGAAATTATCACTGCACAGAATCCCACAGGATCCAGAGATGTAGTTGCCCAGTTATTTCAAAATATGAATCCATACATGAAGAAATGGACTGGACATGCTCCGCTCACTGTAAGAAGTCTTATTAAAACAAATCTCCAGGTTCTTTCAGGAACCTATAAAGGAAACTCTGGATTCTCTGGGTTTAGTTGCAGTGATGGAGCCATGAACTCCACCAGCAGTGACGGAGGCAGAAATAACTCAGTCTATATAATGAGACATAATGTAAGGAGTGCACATCATTCACACCTGTGATTACACACTTTATATTCTTTAATAGGCTGGTTTTTTATGATGTCTTAAATATTTATCTGCTAAAAAGATTTCAAAAAGTCTCATTGTTTTGGAGATATAAGAGTGAGAGTATCAGCTGCTCTCCTGTCATCTCACTGTAAATACATTTCATGCAATAAAAAGCTGAACAGATCATGTATGGGTCTGTTTCTGCACATTAGTGTGTGTGTGTGTGTGTGTGTGTGTGTGTGTGTCTTTGACAAATAAAACACTTCCTGCAGCTGGGTCTCAACACCTCGCCTCGTCTCGTCCTGCGTTCCTTCATAAGCAGTTGATAGATTTTAACAGAGATTCATGTTTAGACGCATGAAACTCAATTTCTGTGTGAAATCAAAGCTTCTTTTTAAACTTCATCCTTTGTATATTAAAAAGATCCTGTCGAGACGTTCAGAAACATGTAAACACATCTCAGAGGAACGCTGTGTGACATGAAGGAAACTCTTTTATTCTTTTAGCTGCAGGTTTGTGGTTTAAATGTAAAACAGAGACGACTCAGTTTGATCTCCAGATTCTTTCTGTCAGACTGTGGCTCAGGCAAATGTATCGTATTGAGTTCCCATATATAAATAAATCAAAAAAACAGGTGTAAAATTATATATGAAACCTGTTAGAAATTTGGGACAAATGTAGGTTTATGTATGAAACTTATATTATAGACATTAATATATAACCTGAACTTTCTCTATAGGGTTTAAATAAAGTGTCTATCTGCAGCTCTGTCATTTACACATATTATTATTATAACACATCCTCTGATTATATGAAGACATACGTTATAACATATGTTATATACCCACAGTAAACGTGTATATGTGTGTGTATTAAGAATATCTGTGATGATGTTTTTATGTGGTTCAAACATGTTGCAACCGTATATGTTGACAATATATATATATTTATTTTAGAAGTGCAAGTTTATTAAAACAGAACTATATAATACATTTATAAGTATAGTTTTGTTTTAATAAACTTTTACTTATAAATTAAATATTATATCTAAAAAAAATCATCCCAGATATTTTATTTCACATACATGTTACTGTGTGTTTATCCCATACGTCATGACGATGTGTACACGTCATAATAATATAAATGTGTGAATGAAAGTTGACAAACATCATAATAAGTATGAGTTTATACATCAGGCTGCATCGCGCTCTGCCTCCTCCTCTGGCGTCACCATGGAAACGAGTTGTTTTTAAATGATACAGGCACTTGTTGTCATGGATGTGGATGTGATGACATCTCTGTGTTCTGCAGGATTTTTTTTTTTGTTTTCTTTTCTTTTCCCCGCAGACACTCGCGAGGTTTCCTTTGATTATACTCCACGTGAGAGCAGGGACGCAGGGGACGCAGGGAGGTCCTGGTGGTAAAAACCTTCAGACTGGGAACAGATCCTGATTCTCCGTCAGTCTGTTAAAACTTTATCACTTAGGCAACTGTGTGTGTGTGTGTGTGTGTGTGTGTGTGTGTGTGTGTGTGTGTGTGTGTGTGTGTGTGTGTGTGTGTGTGTGTTTGCCCCCCCCCACTTTGCTGAAAACCAGATGATAATTCGAACCGTGCAGGTTTTTAACGCGCCGTGACCGCGCGCTCCACGCCGCCTCATTGATGAACGTGCTGTCTCTCTGAACGGGCCGACCTGCGCGAGCGCACCAAGTGTTTCGGTTCCCATGCAGCCCCCGGTCTGCAGCATGCAGCAGGCTGGACGCCGCATTCAACCCCTCCACACCGGTCACGGTGCACGACATGGGGTGGTGGTGTATGATGAGTGAGGGGGGGGGGCACACACACGCACAATGAACAACACACACACACACACACACACACACACACACACACACACACACAGAAATAATTACACCAAGAAATAAACACAATAAAATGAATAAATGACAGATTTCAGGCAGCAGACGCCATGATGGATAACAGGCTCAATTCAAATTTAGTTCGTTAGAAATAATAATAACTATAACAATAATGATAATAATAATAATAAGAAGAATAATAACGAACTTTATCTAATGTTTTATAGAAGACTTGCAGCTCGAAGTGTTTTACAGTCTAAGTTACATCATCATGCACCGACAGTTTCAGACACAAAATAAACATGAATTTAAATTTAAATTTCCACCTAACAACCATTCAAACATTTAACATGAATAAGTTAATACACAGTCTCTGAGGCCTTCAGTTCTCCAGGTTAGAATTTATTATAATGTCTATAATTACTAATTAGATTCTGAATAATTTCCTTTAAGTTTCCAAAACAGAAATGTGTGATTAGTTGTAAAGTAGATAATCATTATTATATAACATATTATGTTATTTTTCATTTATTATTACTGTGTTTACTGAAACATACATTTCATTCATCTAAAAAATTTAATTTGAGCATAATTTACTGATAATTAGCAAATGAGCTGAGGATGAGAGCCATGGCACAGCGCTCCTGCTGCAGGGCTGCAGTTTGCTGCCGCAGTGCCTATGAGCAGGAGCAGGAGGAGCAGGAGCAGGAGCAGGAGTAGGAGCAGCAGCAGGAGCAGGAGTAGGAGCAGAAGGAGCAGGAGGAGCAGGAGCAGGAGCAGGAGCAGGAG